CTTCTCAGGGTCGCGCTGTCTCCTGGCACGGCCGCTCCAGACCTGTCGCCATCTTAGAATCCCAGTGTATCTTCTCTTTACCTTGTAAATGGATTAGTTTCCTTGACATCAGTCTTTCTTCACTAAAATGTGTACTGTCACCAACCAATATTCCCTAAACGTCACTTTCATTATGTAACTCCTTGCTCAAAAACCTTTGCTAGTTTCAGACTTCTGAGAAAATCTGTTTTAAATATCTCTGCTTATTTTCAAGGTCTTCATGAACTGAAGAAACCTTATTTCTTCAATTTTGTTTATAATTATACTCCAACATGCAAAGCTCACTCTATTCAGGTTGGTTTTTTCACTGTCCTCTCACAAGTCAAGCTCATTCCTGCCTTCAGGCCTCACTGATGGTCTTTCCCCCCTCACTTAAAGTACTTTTCCTTCTTTCCTCCTCTAATATGAATACTGCCTGTTCCAAACAGCCTGGATATTTCTCACCTCAGTTGAGAAATTTTCTGTGGCAACTTGATCTCCTTCTCTGTGAAATACTAATCTAATGGTTTGGTAGTTCATTTTATACTATCTTGAATTATTTTCAATTATTCTTGTGTATTAGCCTTTTCTCTCCAATTAGACTTTATACTTTCTGAAGACAATTCTGGGAACACAGTAGTTATTAAATGGGTACTTACTAATAAGACAAAAAGAAGAAAGACTACCCTACTTCCTCAACTCCTGCACTTCTGAAGCACTTTTGAGATGTGACCAAAATCCCTAAAAGTCTATCTGGATTTTGAATGATTTATGATAAGGCATTCTTCTTCAATAAAAAGGGATTCTATGTACTTTGGCAGTACAAACAGGCCTTTGGAAGCAACAGGAGAGACACAGAAAGGAAACAGGTGCTTCAGTATTAGCTTTAGTCCTCCAGGAACTGAAAGAACAATAAAGCTTTTCACCCAGTTTCAAGGAAGCAATGTCAGGAAGCCCAGCCAAAAAAACAAAAAACAAAAAACAAAACAACCCCCCCCCCAAAACAACAAACAACCAAAAATAAGAAAGTGAGATAAAACAAAATTATTTTCACCTTTTCCCTGCTAGATTTTACTGCTTCAGTTAGACAGGCTTTGGAAGGAGAAGTCTGGGAAGTTATCTAGAAAATCTTGATGCCCCACTGCAGTGATGCATAGATGCGGAATGTATTATTACTCTCTTTAAAAAGAAATGTAGAAATAAAGTTTCTGCGAATTGACCTAGAAACCAATTATTTAAAGTAACCCCCAACCAAGTTATTCTGTTTCATTTTTTTGAATTATAACTCTCAAACCATTGTGTATTGGTTTATTTGTTACATATTTATTGTCTGTCTTTGCCTTCTAAGACATAAGCTCTACGAGAGCAGAAATCTCATCTGACTTATTCACCCCATGTGTCCCCAGTGCTTAGAAAAGTGCTGGCACAAAATAGGAGTTAATAAATACTGCTGAAAGAATAAATCATAAGAAGTAGCTCCCCAGTAACTCTAAGATGTTGAAGGGCTAAACATATGACTTATTTTAAAAATACACTCATTCCTTGCCTCATACAGCTCTTACCAAGCATGGTGTGTGAGATGGGGAAGGTGATGGTGGGCTGGCCTGTCATCCTCCAGCGGCTACAGAGATAGGAAAGGTCTGTTCTAAGCATTTCCACTATCATCTTGTTGTCCAGAGCCAGGTAGAACTGTTGCTGGTCTATAAACTAAGAAAAAGAAAAATAACAGCTCAGAATAATTTATTCTCACAAGTATCAAATAATATTTTAAAATACATATTTAAAATGGCATACAAGGCATCATAGAGGCAACAACACCCCCAAATTTAGTGCCTAATACTCCCCAAAGTATTTAGTGGTCAATTGGTACATATAAAAATAATTTCTGACATTTTTACAGTGTGTTACAGTTTACAAAGTATTTTCAAGTACATAATTTTGTTTAACTCCATAACCACCCAGTGAGGTCTTTTCTTCTTTTAATAGATGAAAAATAAGGCTAAGAGATGATATGTGGATAAGCAAAGTGATATGGCTAGCAAATGGCAGAGTCAGAAATAGAATCTATGATCCATTACTCTTTCATTTATACCTACCTCAACTGCACTATTTCAGATGTAAGATGACAAATGGGGAGTTTAAGCTTTCTTTCCAGAAAATAGTTTCTCCTCCCCATACACATATATAATCAGGCTTGCTCTTGTAATATAGCTAATAAACATCAGGCTAACAATGTGTATAGTCACAGACGAAATAATACTGACACCTTTGTTTATAAGAAGACATCGAAGACTTCCACGCACGTAAAAAGGGCCCCTCCCCCAAACAAAGAAAACACCTAATTCAGTAGCTGATTTAAAAATACCATGGTTTGTTTATAAAGATAACTTCAGTCTTATTTTAACTTTTAAAAATAAGGGGTACTTTGTAACTACTCTAACATTTGCAAAATCCCTAGTCACTTTCTGTAACACCCAGGACTAATCTTGGTAATCACAATCACTTGGTGTAACTCTGCGGCAAGTTCAATTCAGTTCAACTAAACAAATATTTACTGAGCAACTTGATATGTACAAGGCTCCCTGGAACTTTTTAATACTTATCCTAACTCTTGTAAATGTTTTATTTCTGCAACGTTTCTCTTTTATTTCCACCCATCTCAATGCATGTTCCAGCTTATTTCACCCACCTGTGGAGTGAAAGTAAAGATAGTTTTCCGAATGTCGTAGAGTTTTGATGTTCCAAGCACTCCCATGTGTCTGTAGGGTCGTCCACTGAGTTTCATTCTACTGTTGCATCCTGACACAGAATTAAGAAATGATCAAGGTATTTCTTAGCACACAAATCAAATCAGCAAACTTTTTAACATATAGATACAAATACAATGTACGTATACACGTATAGACACACCTTATTTCCTTGAGTTTAAGATTTGTTTTTACAGGTTAGCATCCTGAAATTGGAATCCATCTTATAATTGATGTCTATATTAAATGCAGTTTAATTTCTTTTTGTTTTCCAGTAGGCAGTTATTAAACCAATACCTTTTACTATAAGGAAATAACTAATTTATTTACATATATTTTTTCTTTTATAACAGAATAAGACTACATATATTGCTCGAAAACTTTTTTCCCTAAAATACATATTGAATATCCTTTCATGTCAGTACTGACAGAACCACTATTACCACTTTTTTTTTTTTTTTTTTGGCTAGAACACATTTTTCTTGGGGATTTTATTTTTGCCCCTGCTCTATCCTAAGTTTTATACTTATCAAATATGCCACAGTTTTAGTGTTGCTTCACTGTTAGGAGCCAGAACCACAGAACTACCAATGCCTTGGTCATATTCTAGGGCCAACTCAGTAAAGCACACATTTTACCTGAGATTGATGTCACAACCAGGTTTATCTACTGCTCTTTCCTTTTTGTTTGCTTGTTTTTTTTAATCACAGTAAAATATATATGAGATTTACCATTTTAATAATTTTTAAGTGTACAGTTCAGTGGCATTAACTATATTCCCACCATTGTGCAAACATTACCACTGTCTATCTCCAGGACTTTTTCATCTTCCCAAACTGAAAACTCTGTACCTAATGTCCCCCTCATCCCAGCCTCTGGCAACCACCATTCTACTTTGCATCTCTATAAATCTGACTATTATAGGTACCTCATATAAGTGGAATCATACAATATTTGTCCTTTTGTAACTGGCTTATTTCACTTAGCATAATGTTTTCAAGTTTCATCTAAGTTATAGCAAATATCAGATTTCCTTCCTTTTTAAGGCTGAATAATATTCAACCTTATGTATACACCACATTTTGTTTGTCCATCCATCCATTGACAGACATTTGGGTTGTTTCCACCTTTTGGCTATTGTGGACAATGCTGCACACTGGTGTAGAAAATATGTTTTGAGTTCCTGCTTTCACTTCTTTTGGGTATATATCCAGAAGTGAAATTGCAGGATCACATAGTAATTCTATGTTTAATTTTTTGAGGAACTGTTAATATTGTTTTCCATAGTGGCTGCACCATTTTATATTCCCGCTAATGGTGCACAAGGGTTTTAATTTCTCCACATCCTCACCAACACATATTTTCTGTTTATTGTTTTTTTTCAACAACAGTCATCATAATGGGTGTGAGTTGGCATCTCATTGTAGTTTTAATTTGCATTTCCCTAATGATTAGTGATGTTGAGCATCTTTTCATCTCCTTATTGGCCATCTGCATATCTTCTTTGAAGAAATTCTATTTAAGTCCTTTGCCCATTTTTGACTCTGGCTGTTTTTGTTGAGTTGTAGTTCTTATTTATATATTCCAGATATTAATCCCTTATCAGATATATGATTTATAAATATTTCCTCCTGTCTTGTGGGTTGCAACACCTGTCTTGTGGGTGAAAACACTCTGTTGATGGTGTCCTTTGATCCACAAAAGTTTTTTTTTAGCTGCAATTTTTTAAAAAAAACATAATTGATTATACACATTTGTGGGGTACAAAAGTTTTACTTTGATGAAGTTTAATATTTTTTTGCCTGTGCTTTTGGTGTCATATCCAAGAAATCATCACCAAATCTAATGTCAAGAAGCTTTTCCCCTATGTTTTCTTCTGAGTTTTAGGTCTTATGTTTTGGTCTTTAATCCATTTTGAGTTAATTTTTTGTACCTGGTGTAAAGTAAGAGTCAAACTTCATTCTTTTGCATGTGGATATCAAAGTTTTACCAGCACCATTTGTTGAAAAGACTGCCCTTTCCTCATTAAATGGCCTTGGCACCTGTGTTTAAAATCATTTGACAATATATATAAGGATTTATTTTTGGGCTCTCCATTCTAGCTTATTGTTCCAAATGTCTTTCTTTATGCCAGTACCATACTGTTTTGATTACTGTAGACTTGTATGTTTTGAAATCAGGAAGTGTGAGTCCTCTAAACTTGTTCTTTATCAAGACTGTTTTGGCTATTGGTCCCTTGAGATTCCATACGAAGATTCCATATGAATTTTAGAATGAATTTCTCTATTTTTGCAAAAAACATCATTGGGTTTTTGATATGAATTGCACTGAATCTGTTGATAGCTTTGGGTAGTATTGACATTTTAACAATACTATGTCTTCCAATCCATAAAAATGGGGTTGTCCTGTTTATTCGTGTCTTCTTTAACTTCTTTCAGGAACATTTTGTCATGTTCAGTGTACAAGTCTTTCACCTCCTTGTTTACCTTTATTCTTAAATATTTTATTCTTTTTGATGCTATTGTAAATAGAATTGTTTCCTTAATTTCCTTTTTGGATTGTCCATTGTTAGTGTACAGAAATGCAACTGACTTTTGTGTGTTGACTTTGTGCCCTGTAACTTTGCTGAATTCGCTTATTAGTTCTAACAGGGCTTTCTTTTGTGTGTGAAATTTTCATGATTTTCTCCATATAAGATCTTGTGAATGGAGATCATTTTAATACTTCCTTGCCAATTTGGATGTCTTTTATTTCCTTTTCTTGCCTAATTGCTCTGGCTATAACCTCCAATACTATATTGAATAAAAATCTGTGGGCCTGTTTTGATTGTATTTTTTTCTTTTATTCGTTTGGTTTCCTAGCATGTCTTGTTATATTTTTCCAATGCTGAACACAGTGTGTGAAGATTCATAGAGGCTCTGGATGATATTATTTTCCTCTAGAGAGGATTTAGTTTATTTTGGCAGGCAGACACAGTACAAGTGGATCACCTTAGCCCACTTGGGGATTCAGAAGATTGTGTTTTTAGGCTTTGTGTTTGAGGTTTTCTTAGAACTGATCTATTTGCATTTTTTTCTTACTCCTAGAGTGTAGCCCTTTCCTTTCACCTAGTAAGGCCCTGAAATGCAATTTCTGTCTCCTCAGCACAGTGAGAGTTCTGTTTAGTTCCTTGGCCCCTCACCACATGTAAGTAAAGCTTAAGAATTAGCAAATGCCTCAAAGGGAAATTGCACACAAAATGGTGAGTTTACTTTTTTGAGGTCCCCTTCTCTTGGCTTCGTTTAGTCCTACCTGTCTTAATTATTCTCTGAAGCCTTCATTCAACTCTATTTTTAATTTTTTTAAAAAAAATTTAATTAATTTTTATTGAAACATAATTGATAGTATATATCTCTGGGGTACAGCATTGAATATCAATACCTGTGTGCAATATGTGATGCTTAAATCAGGATAATTAGTATATTCAACATTACACAATGTAATTATTTTTTTGTGGCCCTTTACCAATTTCTCAATAACCCCTTTCTTTCTCCCCCACGTCTGGTGGCCTCAGTTCTGTTCTCTCCTTTTAAAAGTTCAACAAATTATTGTGATTGTTGTAGCTCTCTTTACTTTTTGTTCTTTCTTTCTTTTTTTGTATATTTGTTTATTTTCTCAGTTCCCACTTATGAGTGAGGGCATGTGGTATGTTGCTTTCTGTGCCTGGCTTATTTCGTTTAATGTAATTTTCTCTAAGTTCATCCATGTTGCTGCGAATGGCAGAATTTCATTCTTTTTTATGGCGGACTAGTATTCCATTGTGTATGTATACCACATTTTTCTTATCCCGTTGTCCACTGATGGACATTTAGGCTGGTTCCAACTCTTGGCTATTGTAAATAGAGCTTCAACAAACATGGGACTGCAGGTATCCCTTTAACACAATAATTTCCATCCCTTTGGGTATATACCCGGTAGTGGGATTGCTGGATGGTGTGGCAGTTCTATCTGTAGTTGTTTCTGGAACCTCCATACTGGTTTCCATGATGGCTGCACATAGTTCACATGGTTCTCGAGAGGCTTAAGGGATCCCGAATGAGCCCCCAAATGTTATGGCCAACGTCTGATGGGTAAAAGAAATTTGCCCATGAGAACCGGGTGATAGGAAAAGGGAAAGAGTTTATTTCTGGCAGCCAGGGCTACGCAGGCCAATCGAAGTGTGCAGCCCCGAGTTGAAACCTCTCGCAGCTTTTATTTTTAGCTAGGCGGGAATTTTTCACACCTGACACAATCTAGCCAATGCAAGCAAGCCAGTGGTACATAAGCTAATTTTGTGGTTAGCCCTGTAGCCCCTCCCCACCCTGGATTCCCAGGACTTTCCAGGCTAAAATGGCAGAGCCGCCTAAAATGGCGTTAGCCATGCTACTCTGTTTATTCCACTATTTACTTTAGCAAGCGACTTGTACAGAAGCAGAATGCATATGTTAAGGTCAGTAGGGTTGGGGCATCCCTTAACATTTACAGTTCCACCAACAGAGTAGGAGGGTTTCTCTTTCTCTGCATCCTCACCAGCATTTGTTATTCACTGTCTTTTTGATAATGGCCAGTCTAACTGGGGTGAGGTGATATCTCAATGTGGTTTTGATTTGCATTTCCCTGATGCTGAGTGATGTTGAGTATTTTTTATGTGTTTGTTGGCCATTTGTATATCTTCCTTTGAGAAATGCCTGTTCAGCTCCTTTGCCCGTTTTTAAAATCAGATTACTTTTTTTTTTTTTAACTGTTTAAGTTGTTTGAGTTCCTTGTATGTTCTGGATATTAATCTTTTGTCAGATGCATAGTTTGCAAATATTTTTCCCATTCTGTAGGTTGCCTTCTCACTCTGTTGTTTCTTTTGCTGTGCAGAAACTTTTTAGTTTGATAAAATCCCATTTGTTTATTTTTTCTTTTGTTGCCTGTGATTTTGGGATCTTATATTCACAAAGTCTGCCAAATCCTACTTCCTGATATGTTTCCCGTATGTTTTCTTTTAGGAGTTTTATAGTTTCAGGTCTTACATTTAAGTCTTTAATC